TAATTTTCTAAAGACTTCAAGTTTCGTGTTGTGTTGAGATTTGTGAGTATAAGCATTTCTTTAAAGCATGGAATTTATTTTTAAAAGAATCTCATATCTCATTCTTCTGCTATATTCTGAACGTATTACATGAGTCTTTCAAAATAAATAATGCATTCTTAATGCCGTGAGTACAAACTTGAACTAAACTTCAAATTCATATGATACATATGTAGTGGGCACTTCCTTAGGCCCTATGGGAGGCACAGAGATGCAGTCTGACTCGATAGTCCATGCCTTTAATCACTGGAGTTTGGAAGCTCTCCAAGCACCTACCATTCTTTTGAGGTAAATCCAAAACAAAGTGATTTTTTGTTTTATTTTCCAACAGTTTTCCTTATCCTGAAAAACAGGTGATTGTTGGTTTTTTTTAAGTTTCTCTTTCTTCTTTCTTTTTCTTTCCTTCTTCCCTCCTTTCTTTTTTTCCTTCTTTCTTCCTTCTCCCTTTCTTCCATGAAGGAAAGAGACAGAGAGACAGCACCCTCAACAAGGTCTCCACATTGCGATCCACCCCATCTCCTCATTGCAATCCTCCCCCAGCCTCAGCCAGGGTTTGACTGTGCCTGGTATACTCATGGAAGTCTCTAGAAACAAGCCCAGAACTTTCCCATGTGGGTCAGTCTTGGAGAGCATTACATTTTACCACTGAGCCACCATCAGGCCCCTGAAAGTTATTTTAAGGACCTATCTACAATAAGCCATGCATAATATTTACTCCATCATCAGTCAACAAATATTTACTGAGTACCTACTCTGTGCCAGGAAGCTGAAGAACAGTAAAAAATAAGATAGACTGCTTGAACTTAAGGACATTCTGTAGAAAACAAATAGGATGATTTCAGATGATGCGTGCTAATGACAACATGAAATAGCAGGACCTAGGACGGTTGTACCGCTCTATGGGACCAAGCCATGGAGGCGGGAGGGTCTAGGTTTGTATCCAGAGACCTTTCCAAATACACCAGACATATCCAAATACACAAACCATTCCCATGATTCAGGGCTGGCTAAGGTTGGGGAATAGATTGTGGCCTCAGGACCTGGTTGGAGGTGCTGTCTCTGCCTCTCTCTCTGTCTCTCTCACTTTGGAAGAAATAAATAAGGTTCATTAAAACATACACACACACACACACACACACACACAAAACCAGGACTGGCATGTGGCATGGTGGTTAAGGTGCTGGATTCCCACATGGCCAACCACGGTTCAAGACCCAGACCTGGTGGCTTGCTTGCTTTCTCACTCTCCCTCTCTCCATCTCTCTGTGGTCAAATTTAAAAAGTAAATAAATAAATGAATAAAATTAAATAAATAATTCTTTAAAAAAAAAAAAAAAAAAAAACAACCAAAGAAAAAGAAACAGCAATATGATGAAATAGGCTGACACAAAACAGGCTGGATGACTGACAGCTGCTTTAGACTGGATGTCAGGGAGGGCCTTTGAGGAGGCGGAATGTGAGATGAAGATCTCAAATTTCCATATGCCTAATGGATGCCCCAGTTTGTTCCAATTAACAGTCAAACCAAATGTTTCTACTTTATGCAGGTTCACTGCTTTGGTTTAATATTTCCAAATATTTGCAATTTGCCCCCTTTGGCAAGACTTCTTTGTGAACTTTTTTTAAATTAATTCGATGCTTGAAAGTCAGGTTGGTGAGATTTATGTTTATATGAAATAATTCCCCCTTCCCTTTTATTTTCTCAGAATGGTTGTATCAGCTGCATCAAGAAACTAGCCACAGGGACCAGCAGATGGTATAGCGGTTATGTCACTGGACTCCCATGTAGTCGACCATGGTTTGAGTCCCAGACCCAGCAGCTTAAAACTCACGCTGGGTACATGAACGTGTGTGCCCAGGATCCCAGGAGGAGAATAAAGGAGAAAGGATTTCCGCGTGGCCATCCCTCTTGCTTTCTGCCTTTTGCTTCTTTCTGTCTCTCTCTGTCTCTGTCTCTCCATCAAGCACACACACCCTATAGCAAAACTCTCTCTCAAAAAAACAAAAAAGGAAAGAAACTAGCCCTGAAAACATGTTCCTTCTTGGCACCTGGGGCCTTCACTTGTGCGTGTGGTTTTCCTGCCCGAGGAGGACAGTAGGCATTCAGAGCAGGGCATTTTATTGACCTTGTCACCTGTCCTCATGCAGGCTCACAGTGAGAAGGAACTTGTGTTCACCCTGAATCATCACGCTAGCAGACATCTCTTCAGAGTCTGTGTGCAGCCTAGGAAACCGGGCCCGCAGCGAGAATGCCCAGGGAATGTGCAACTCTTGAGTGTGCATTTCTTTTTTGCTCCACATGATGGGAAAAAGATGTATTGTAATCATCTGGAGAGTCTTTTCAAAATACACCTCTTCTATCACCACTTGGTGATTATCAGAATGGAGAGAGGGGAGCCAGAGAAGGCGAACCTCTTGAGTCCCACACTGCTGTGCTCCCCTTAATACAATGCACAGAGGGAGCAAGCCAAGTCTGAGCTGTGATTTACAGATGGACAGTGAGGAATCATCTTTTATTCCAAAGATAACTGTGGAGCTAGAATGCTGTATTCAGCAGTAAGTAGAAGAAAGAGAAATAAAGTATGATTTCTACTTTCAAGGGGCTCACAGTTTAGTTGGCAAGACAGATTTAAAAACAGACAAATTCTAATGAAGTGAAATAAAGGATCATTTTAAGTGTTAGGGTTCCATCCATATCACATTTCCTTAAAATGCAGGAAGACCTAAATAAGTGTCCAAGGTTACAAGACTATTTAATAAATGTTGCATTTAAAAGAAATAAAGTTATAGTGAATGAACAACCTTAGGAATCCTCCACAAATGTTCCTTGAAAGGAGCTAGTTACACATTTGTCAAGGCTCAGCTTGCAGAATGTAGAAACTTCTTTATTGCCAGGCAACGTGAAATGAGGTGGGAAAATCTTCCAGACAGAAAGTATCCATTATAGACCCATCTTCTCTAACACAACTAAATGACCATCCTTTACCAAATCTCATTCATGGTCATTGAAATACAATATATGAATGGACACAAAAATCTCAAGTACATTTTATAGGAAAAGTTAGGCCTGCGTATTTTATCATTGATGGAGACCTTAGAAATCATTCTTTTTGGGGATTATTGACTGTGCTTTGGGGGTCTTATGTAAGAAGTCCTTCCCTACCCCAATGTCTACCAGAGTTTCCCCAGTGTTTTCTAGAAGCAGTTTAATAGTTTGGGGTCTTAGATTTAGATCCTTGATCCACCTTGACTTGATTTTTGTCAAAGGTGACAGGTAGGGGTTTAGATTCATCTTTCTACAGGTGGTAATCCAGTTTTTCCAGCACCATTTGCTGAAGAGGCTTTCCTTTTCCCACTGGATTGACTGGTACCCCTTGTCAAAAATCATCAGACTAAGAAGTTTCTGCATGGCAAAAGACACAGTAATTAGTGTGAATCGAAAGCCCTCAGAATGGGAAAATATTTTTGTAAACTATGCATCAGATTGATAACCAGAATATAGAAAGAACTAAAGAAGCTGTTTGGAAAAAAGATGATGAACCCTATTAAAAGATGGGAGGAGTTGAAAAGAACACTCACTAAAGATGACATACGAATAGCCAGAAGGCATATGAAAAAATGCTCAATATCCCTCATTGTAAGGGAAATGCAGATCAAAACAACAGTGAGATACCACCTAACCCCAGTCAGAATGGCAAAGATTAAAAAAACAAAAAATGATAAGTGTTGGCGGGGATGTGGTGAAAGGGGAACTCTCTTACACTGCTGGTGGGAATATAAATTAGTCCAACCACTGTGGAGAACAATTTGGAGATTCTTCAAAAATTTACAAATAGAACTACCATATGATCCAGCAATCCCATTTCTTGGCATCTACCCAAAGGACAGAAGAATTTCTCATTGGAAAAGTGCTTGCACATCGATGTTTATTGCGGCACTCTTCACGATTGCTAAGACATGGAACCAACCCAAATGCCCCCGTACAGATGAATGGATTGAAAAACTGTGGCACATACACTCTATGGAATACTATTCAGCCATTAAGAACAACAAAACCCTGGCTTTTGACACAAAGTGGAAGAATATGGAAGATTTACTGCTGAGTGAAGCAAGCCAGACTATGAAGGAGAGACACTGTATGTCCCCACTTAATATATACCGAATGTCCACACTCTATAACTGAAACTGACTGGCTAAAGGATGTACAAACAGAAGAGGTGGATGTGAATGCCAGATGTGGGGTGTGTGGAGGAGTGAGGCCTGGGGAAGAACATTTGGAGGAGGGATACGAAGACAGCATTGTTGAGACAGGGAGGTAGTGTTGTTATATTTTTATCAACTGGACCGGGGAGAAATGTTCATATATTGAAATGATCACCTTGTAAGCTAAATAATGTAATTGAATGTATTTAAAAAATGTAAATAAAAATTAAAAAATAAAAAAAAAAGAAATCATTCTTTTACCAGTCCACTCCTTTTACAGTCACACCTCTGGAGCCAAGTTTAAGTGACTTGCTCAAGGTCACACAGCTAGTTGATACAGAAAGTTTGTGGTCTCTTGATTTGCCTAGTGCTGTATTTCAGAGGGCAGCTCTGAATTAACTGCAGATGTTTTTGTAGAAAAAGATGCACATAAAAAGAAATCCTTCTTGGCCCACCCATATAGCAAGATCTAATCAAGCTTCCAAAAGATTGTTTAAACAGGCTAAGAGAGGTGTAATAGGAAATATGTGGCACTCTGACCCGTCCCCCAGACATTTCATGACATTTGCCTGCAAGGAGGGTACCTTCACAGGCTGTGTTCTTCCTCAGAATGGACGTGATGTCGCTGGTCCGGTCTGATACGGAGTCCTTCTCTTTCTCCTTCTCCTCCCTCTCCTTCTCCTCCTCCTCCTCCTCCTTTTTCTTCTTCTCCTCCTCCTTCTTCTTACTTTCTCCTCCCTCCTCCTCCTCCTCTTCTTCTTCTTTTATTTTTTAATTGTCAGTGGCTGCATGCACTTACCAGAGAAAAAGAAAAAGAGAGAGAGATAAGGCACACCTCAATAGAGCATGGTCATGCTGAAATCCTTTCTCCTCCCTTCAACCAATCAAGATTTGTGGCATCCATGAACACATGCCTGGTGTGATTTTTGAGCTGTCAGCTCTAAGATTCAAACCATGGTCAGCCATCTGTTATCTAGCTTTCTATGCACAAGACTTAACCACTAAGCCACAGGGCCAGCCCTCAGTCCTTGTTCTTTGTTGTTTTTCCTATGATTGAAGTCATAAAAGATCAAATCAGAACTTCATAGAGATCATTGCAAAAAACCCACCTCTAACTGGGTACAGTCCTTATTTAGAGTCTAACACTCTCTCTCTCTCTCTCTCTCTCTCACACACACACACACACACACACACACACACACACTCACTCCTGTCCACAAGAGCAATGCCAGTTTCTCACTAATTCCCCTGCCCTAATGGGTATTGACTCAATAGACTATGTGGCCAGGTCTTGCTCACCAATGCCAACTTAACTCCGATTCATCTTACCTTCCAAACTAAACTTTTAGAAGCAATTTTACTTCTCCTTAAAGTGACATAATCATAAACCATTCTCTGTAAAACATTCCACAGGCTGACATCTGCTTTCCTTCCTTGATCTCCCAAAAGGAGCAGATGATAAACAGAGCTTCAAGAAATGTCTCATGCAATTCTTTCCATTATACCATTACTTCTCTAGTTTCAGTCTAGAGGGTGTTTTCTACCATCTGCTGATATTTGTGTTACCTAAGAAATAAATCCTTTTAATTTAAGAATAAACACTGTGTGATGGCAAATTTCTAGACATGATATAAAGCTCACCAAATAATCTTGTTCACTAAGGTCTTCCAAAATTGGCTTTGGCTTTGCCCATTCTGTTTAAATTTAGAGCCATGTGGTAACAGCCACGGACATTAAAGGATTCATGTTCACTTTTTCAAGTCCCCTTGTTGAAAACAGCAAGAATTCCTTACATTTGTTCAACAAAGGGGTCTTTCTAAGAAAAATCTTTCTTTTAGTGAGAGATTTTTGCTATAGGGCATGTGCTCTCACTGGAGAGATAGAGAGACAGAAAGTGAGAAATCACACCCCAGGGGCATGGCCACACCATAATCCGTTCTCCTCTATTCTCCCCCCAAGATTTTGGGCACACACACAGACCTGGAGTGAGTTTTAAGTCTCCAGGTCCAGAACTTGAACCATGGTCGACTATGTGGGAGTCCAGTGATGTAACCATTACACCATCTGTTGGTGCCTTCCCCCAGTTTTTTTATAGAGGAGAGAGCTAGAGAGCATGTAGGAGGGAAATAGGAGTTTTTGACAAGATCTTATCACATTGCAGTCCCTCTTGCCCCAGTCTCCCAGTTAACTAGAGCCAAGGGTTGGGTGAAGAACTGAATCAGGCTTTCTATGTGGCTCTTGCCACCATGCAGCAATACCTTCCCACCTGCACCTCCATGGGCCTAGGGGAAGTATTTTGTAAAATCCAGACAAAGAGGGGACAGTGGTAGCACAGTAGTGATGTAACTAGGCCCTCATGGGAAAGGTCCTGGGTTCGTATCCTGGGATTTCCCTGAATATACCAGGTGTGTATTAATTCCTATGATCCAGGCTGGCTTGGACTGGAGATAGATTGCAATGTGGGGACCCTGTGGGGATACCTGTTCTCTGCCTCTCTCTCATGTAAGAAATAAATAAACAAAACAAACCCAGACAAAGGAGGCTGGCCTAATAGCTTAGTGGTTAAGGTATCAGATCTCACATGGCTGACCACAGTTAGAAAAATCTCACAGTAGCTGAGGCTAGTAGGTAGCATAATGGTTAAGGCACTGGACACGTACATGGTCAACCATGATTTGAGTCCCAGACCCAGCGGCTTGAAACTCATGCCAGGAGCATGTGTGTGCATGCCCCAAATCCCAACAAAAGTCCCAGGACCTTGCCCCAAATCCTGGCAGGATGGAGAAATGGAAGAGAAGGGATTGTAACATGACCACTCCCCACTGGGGGGAGGGGGGTGCTTTCTCCCTGTCCCTCTTTCTGTCCCTCTCTTTTTCTGGCAAGCACATGTATCCCTGGCAATTTAAAAAGAAGCAGCAGCAAAATCTAGACAAAGGGAATCCCTTCTACTCATGAAAGGGATTTGTAATTCTGGAGATGTGCCTAATAGTTCCATAAAGCATAGCTCTATTACTTAAACAATAACAAAATGTCCACCTCTTACTTGCACCTGAGACTACTAGAGACTTCTAATTAACAAAAGGCAATAATTTGATACATCCAGAGTGCAATCCATCTTTTCTTTTTGAGAGAGATTTTTGCTATATAGTGTGTGTGTGCTCACTGGAGAGACAGAAAGAGATGAAGAGAGAAAAAGTTAGAAATCACCCCCCGCCAGTGGGGTGGGGTGATGGCCATGCTGCAATCCCGTCTCCCTACTCCTCTCAGGATTCTGGGCATGCACACACACACCACCAGTGTGAGTTTCAAGCCCCTAGGTCTGGGACTTGAACTGTGGTTGGCCATGTGAGAGTCCAGCACCTTCACCACTACACCACCTGCTGTCCCTGTCATAACATCTTGACTGCAATGCTGCCTGAAAAAAGTTGTAGTGAAAACATTGATTCTTGAGTCACCGGTCTGAATCCCAATCCAGGTCCACCAATTATGGTTTCTGTGAGTAAGTTATTTTTTGCCCAAAGGGAAAATGGAGATAATGATGTTACTTTCAGTAGGATTAACTGATTCACAGAAAATGCCTAGCCATGACCAGGCAAACAGCAAGTGTGCCGTAAATGTCAGTTAATAAGTAGAGGAATTGACCTGGCAGCAGAAGCAGTGGCGAAGAAGACCAGTGAGCTACACTTGGAGATGAATGAAAGTAATTCCTGTGCTATGGGAAGCCAAACCAGCATCCATGCCCCAGATATGTAAAATGGCAGGGCATGCCCCACTCATCTGACACAGCCAAAAAAGGTTTCTGGCTAATTTTAAGAGTTGCTCAATCAATTATAGACTTAAAGGATAACCGAGCATTCTTTATTTCTCTTGGCAACATCACGATTTGCAAAATCCTATTTGGCAAGAGAAATACTCCAAAGTCTTTTTTTTTTTTTAAACTATTTTAATAACAAAAACTGGATTACATGGATACCCTCTAAGCCTCCTTTCGGGTTGACCCATTCCATCTGTGACAGTGACTGGCATGAAGTAGTACTTGGTAGAATAACGTGTCTGGGCTTTGGGGCCACACATCGGTGTAAGCCTCTACCTCTTGCTGCATGTGATTGGTCAAGGCACATCGTCTTTCTGAGGCTCTGTTTTCTCTCTCTCTCTCTTTTTTTTTTTTTTGAGAGTTTTTTTGCTATAGAGTGCATGTACTCGCCAGAAAGACAGAAAGAGACAGAAAGATAGAAAGTGAGAAATCACCCCCGCAGAGGGGATGGCCACACCGCAATCCCTTCTCCTCCATTCTCCTCTTGGGATCTTGGGCACACACGCGCACGTGCCCAGTGTGAATTTAAGCCACCAGGTCCGGGACTCAAACTGTGGTCAACTACATGGGAGTCTAGTGACATAGCCATTACATCAACTGCTGGTCCCCAAGGCTCTGCTTTCTCATCTGCATAAATGGGTACAGTATCACTGTGAGAATCACATGAGAGTTACAGGTGAAGGTGCCCAGCGTAGTTCTAGGTACACAGCAGATAGTTAATAAATGGCAGTATCTCTACCCTTCCTCTCCAAAGCCATTCAGGAGAGTGACTTTTTTTAAAGTTTATTTATTTATTTCTTCCACAGGCCAGAGAAACAGAGAAAGAAGGAGACAGTGCCTCCAAGTAGCTCTTCACACCATGATCTACCTCCAACTTCAGCCCTCCCTGAATCAGGCATGCATGCACAGGTATGTTCAGGGGGGTCTCAGGACACGAACCTGGAACCTTCCCAAATGGGCCAACCTCTCAGAGTATTGTTTTATCACTGAGCCACCTCCACGTCCAACAGAATGACTTTGAAACTCCCAGGAACTCTTCTTTAGGGAACTGGAGTCACAGATGCGGCTTTGCCATTTGAGCATGTTCGCTGTGGAATGTATTGCTGAAACAGCCCCTGTAAGAAGATTTTTTAAGAGAAAAGGGAATGAGATAAGTCAATGGCAGAAACCTATGGGCTGGAATTTGGGGCACTGCTTAGCTGGCTGCTCTGAGGACAGCAAGCTCCCCTTAGTCATCTACCCGACCCTCCATTCGATAAATATGTACTGAGCACAAATTCCGTGTTCACATTGGACTTAGGGCTGGGGAGATAACGGTGAAGAATAAACAGCCCCTGTCCTGAAGCGTTCATGGTCCACTGAGAGAAACAGACAAACACGCCAGCTAGGATACAGCCCAGTGTGCTCCGTGCCAAGAGGGGAAGCAGAAAATGCAGAGTGAGAGAGACGTGTGCTTCCTGGGGAGGCTGTTCCTTGTTCTACTTTAAGTTTACCCAGCAAGGGGTAGGGGAACACATTTTTTTCCTCTCTCTCTCTCTCTCTCTCTCTTTTTAAAATTTGCTAGAGAGGGTACGTGTCCTTACCAGAGAGAATGAGAAAGTATCCCATGGGTGATGGTCACATGCAATCCCTTGTCCTCCATTTCTCCCTCCGTTCAGGACTTTGGGCATGCATGCACATATGCCCAGTGTGTTTCTCAAACCTCTGGGTTTGGGACTCAAACTGAACAGTCAGCCATGTAGGAGTCAGCTACCTTAACCACTACGCCACCATCTGACCTGGAAAAACAGATTTTTAACCTTTTTCCTAAAATAAAAAAAGGATTCATATATTAGGGTCAGCAAGTAGCACAGTGGTTAAGACACTGGACTCCCACATGGTCAACTGTAGTTTGAGTCTCAGACCCAGTGGCTTGAAACTCATGCCAGGCACATGTGCATGCGTGCCCAAAATCCCAAGAGGAGAATGGAGGAGAAGGGATTGTGGCATGGCCTTCCTCCCTGGGGGGTGATTCTCGCTTCCTGTCTCTGTCTCTCTGGCAAGCACATGTGCCCTATAGCAAAAATCACTCTCAAAAAGAAGACTAATACACTAAACACTGGTACATTCATAACACCACTTAAAAAATAAAGTGCTACAAATGTAGCTGAAACCACCTATGTACCCCTTCCTCCCCAGTCACATCTCTTCTTTAAGCTTATTTATTTCTTCCATTATTGAGAGACAGAGACAGAGAGACAGGAGTTCCTAAAAGGGTCCATGTTATAATCCAGTCTCAGCTGGCCCAGATCCAGGCTCAGGAAAGCCCAGGACTTGAATGCAAGATGCAGCCCATGTGGGTCTGCTTGTGTCTCTGCTGTGCCACCCCCCACACCACATAGGTGTGTATGCCAGGTGACTCACGGAATTTTCTGAGCGAAACAAATGATCTACTAATAAAATCCATATTTAGGGGCAGTCACTTAACTAATTCACTTCGATTAGCTGAAAATCGAAGCAATTTGAAGTTCCGAAAAATTTTGCAAAAATGCAAGATACTTATGTTTTCACTTTTTAAAACTAATGATTCCCCAAGTTTGCCTTTGGGTTTTTTGAAACCCCAAGCTCTGGGGAGAAATATTAATACTTTCTAAGCCTTAGGTTAATAGAACGTATCAGTCACTATAACTATCACTTTACTCTCTATTATTCAGATTCAGGATTTCTGCTGCCTTGACTACTACTGCATATTCGTCCTGTGAAAATGCTTAACATAAATTGGTTTGGGATAAAGAGAACAGTTATTTAAATTTTTGTTAAGATTTTTGCTGTATGACACATGTACTCACTGAAGACACAGTGAGAGGGAAAGTGAGAAATCACCCCCAGGGGGGATAGCTGTGTTGCAATCCCTTCACCTTCATTCTCCTACTGGGATCTTGGGCACGCACGCACCTGCACCCGGAGTGATTTTCAATATAGTGTAGTTTCCGGGACAGGATGGAGTGTGCCCCATCAGGGCTTGGGGTCTTCCACTTGAGATGCTGACTCTGTAGCATGCCTGGAAGAGAGCTGGAGAAGAGACAGCAGGACAGAGCTGGGCTCCCTGCTTGACACAGCTGATCAGCAAACATGGCAAGGACACTCAGTCCAGCCTGAGACCCGCCACCCAAGGTCCGAACAGAATCTACAACCCTGAATGCAGAGCAGGTACACATGCAGTACACATGATTTTTGGAAAAATCATGGTAAAGATGAGCCAGTTAATTTAACTGTCCAAAATGAAGCAAAAGAAACCAGAACTGGAAATATCCGTGAGAAAGAAGCAGGTCTCTGATAGTCCCTGGGGATCCTTGGGGATGAGAGAGAGCAGAGTAGAACCACATGGATTATTCAAGAGACCAGGAAGGAGGCCACTCAGCATAGTACCACCCCCGATAGCATCACAAGAGTGCTGTCTTGGCTCCCACTTTCTGGACTCATCAACGTAGGCAGTAGGCTAGGAGGTGGCATGGAGGTTAAGGCGCTAGTTCCCACATGGCTGGCTTTGGGATTCAATCTCCAGATTCAGTTGGTTGAAAATCAAGCCAGACACGTGTGAGTGCATGCCCAAAATCCCAAGAAGAGTAAGGAAGAGAAGGATAAGAGATTGAAGTGTGGCCATCCACCCTTGGGGGTTATTTCTCATTTCCTTTCTCTTTCTCTCTCTCTCTCTCTGGCAAACGAACGCACATGCCCTATAACAACAACCACCAAAAAAAAGTAGGCAGCTACATGGTTTGGAAGTCATGAGATGGCAACTTGTCCCCAAGTACGTGCAAATAAACTTCCCCTCTGAGATGTAAACATCTTCTCTTAACTACTCAGAGAGAAGCATGTGGCTCAGAAACCAAATGATTCTGAGGCCACAACAGCTGACCCAGGTGAAGGTATTAGGAGATCTAAAAAGTGTTTACACAACACGAAAAGTGGAGGCACTCTTTGACTTCCCATTGTGTTCTACACAAACCACACTTTTGATTATCAGGTAAACACTGAAACCACACGGTTCCTTGACGAAATGACCAGAGGAAACTTGGAGCCACCACAAGGTGGCGCTGCCTGCCATCCAATAGTTTTGCTCATCCATTTTGACCTCGTTTCTCTACCTATTACTGAAATCATTTACACAATTTATTGTGACTTTGACTTATTATCTTATATAATGAGCAAAAATTGGAAGAGGCCATGAAGGAGAGAACTTACTGGAAAGAAGGCTCAACTACGCAGTCCCTTGTAGAGTTACATTTCCTTTGTGAAATACTAAACTGTTTTGTCCTTTTCAGCTTTTTATTTCTTTTCTTCTATGAGAGAAAAAGAGAAACACTCCTAACAGGATCTTCACACCACAACCCATCCACAGCTTCATCCTGCCAGGATCATAGACACGCACGTGTGCAGCCGGCATGTACCAGAAGGCCTCAAGCCGTGAACCCAGGACCTTCCCATTTGGGTCTAGCATCCCAAAGTACTGCTCTACTGCTGCACCACCAACTGACCCTGCCATTCTTATTTATAATTTTGTAAAGTTTCAGCAATATAAGTCAACACCACTAACTACAACTGGCATCTCATTCTGCAACCTGAGAGGTCAACTCCTGGACTATAAGAAGCCCATCAGGTTACTACGACTTTGTGAGTCTCCCGGAATAGCTCTGGTTTTTGTTTTTTTTGGTTTTGGGTTCTTTTTTTTTTTTCCTATTTGCACAATTCTTACTTCTAGTCACTGTATGAGCCTCCATTTTAAGTCCTTCCCAGGAATTAAAAACCCTGTAGATGTACAGAATATAGCATTTTGAGGTTGTTGTGCCCCACTCAGATTCAAGAGAGTGGCTGTCAGGTTAAGAGAGACCAAGCAGTTGAGTAGGCTAATATGGGGATGAATCTAAGGGTGGACCCTTTAAAAGTTACCAAAAACCAGGATCAGAAAGATCCAGAGCAAATATAAAAGCCAAGGAACAGGAGGATCACAAGTGAAAGGTAAAGGCAAAATTTAGGAATGGAACAGAGACCAGTGGAGAGAAGAAGCTGTTCAGACACTAACGAGAGGACCTGAGGAAACTGTCCATTAATTCAGGAGGACTTTGCACCTTCCCTTGGTGAGTTGGCAAGTATTGGGAGTATGCATTAGGCTGGGATAAAGCTGTAGGACCAACATGAATTCCTAATTAATCAGTACGCATTAGCTGAGTTGCAGGGGTGCGGGG